CGAAGGCCGAGCGAAGACCAGCAGGGGGATTAGAATTGTCTAATGTATGTATGGTCGAGGCCTTGGGTGAATCTGTCTTCTTGTATGAGGTCTTAAAGGCAGCCAGTAGCGGGCCGTGCCGCTTGTCGGCGCCTTGCGTTATTTCGATGTCGGGATGAGAAGTTTGGAGGTTGGTGGCAGGAGAAGAGGGAAGAAGGCAGTGGGCTGGTACTGGTGCGACTCAGAACCTGAAGAAGTTCCCACAGTCAGAGACTTGGTTGATAAGACATCGAGTAGGGGACTGTACGCTTTTAGTCAGCTCCGTTATGGTGTAGTGGCTAACATTATCGCCTCTCATCGCCACGAACCGCGAGTAAGACGCGATAGCCCAGGGTTCGATTCCCTGTAACGGAATAATTTTGGAGGGGAAAGGACATGATTTTCCCTTCTCAATTCTCTCATTTTGATTTCGGCGAGCGTGTTTACGAGGAGGCAATACTATATGATTTGTGATTGTCAGCCCCCGTGCTCAACGTCAAGGGCAATGTTCTACAAGTCTTTGCGAGCGCACATCGAAACATGGTAATGTATGCCTTCTGCTGCAATGCAGCAAGACTGAGCTCCAAGTACCTCAAATAGTAATCTCGACAGATTTAAAATTATCGCTCGACCTCAAACGCTCCATCAAAGAAAGGTGCCTCAAATAGTCCGGCGATTATTCCAGCCATGTTTGTCGGGTTCTAAAGTTCGGGATTGAGACTACCACTATAGTAATGCCATTCTAAATAAGCAGGATCTACGGAATACGGACTATATACACATATACATACCAATACGTTTACGGCTCGGGGTCCAAGTAATGGGGTAAGGTACTAACGGTATCGTACAATACATTGTTGGTTGGGTTGAAGTTGGGTGAGACCCTGATAGTAAGCGCCCAAGGAGGCAAAACAATATATAAGAAAAATAAAACCGAGAAGAAGTGGTGTCTGGTGCACGAACGGTGAAGGAACGGAGTCAAAGAAGAGGGGGATGGGTCGAGAGAAGAAGGAAGCGGGGTACGGGAGGAGACATGTACAACACCGGGCAAGAAAGCGGAAAACGGAAACCAAAGAGGTGGGAGGCGAAGGCGAAAGCGAAAGAGGGGGGTATACCAATCGTCCGTGTAACGACATATAGAACCGATCTTGTACATGTATACCGCAGCATGATCATATGCAAGACGAAAGCGAGGGACAAGAAAGCGAAGCGAAGATGTTAACGAGTGGGAGAGATTCCCTATTTTGGCCGGAAAGGGAGGCATACGACAACTTGTAGCGGCTCTGTAGCATGCGAAGCGCATTCCAAGCGATGTGGTGTGCGGAACAGTGCAAGAAAGGGTGTAAAAAAACCGGAGGATCGAGGAAACTGTGGTGCGTGGCGATTGGGATTCCGAAATGCCAGATAGGAGGGAGTAAATATTCGAGGAACGAGGATCCGACAGCCGACATAATAAACGGAGCTGGGTCAAAGGGAGCAGGGTGGCATGAACGATGGAGTAGGGAAGAATCGCCTCGATCTCGAATCCTGGGTTGAAGATCGACTCACGAGCGTTGCCACATGCGGGGCATTGCCTTTTATTTCTTCCGTGAGCAGTTGGCCTATCGGATGGGTATAACCTGAGTATCCGTAGACTCTGCAGGCCGCCCACACATGATCTTCAACGTCAGAATGCCATCTTCCATCTCCGCCTGTACATCTTCTTTCTGCAACCGAGGAGAGTGGGAACATGAGTAAGGAACCACGAACAATAAGAAAAAACGACCAAAAACACACCCTCGTCTCAGAAGGAACCGTCAAGGTCCTCGCAAAATCGCCATACTTCCTCTCAGAACGATGGAACTGTGATGGTCCTGGAAAGCTGCTCGTCGCCACAGCACCGACGCCTATAGTGATATCGACATCCTCCTGCCTGTCCTCAACCATAGCACTCGCACTCCCCGCATCCTCTCCACCTCCACCATCGGTATCCTTCTCACCAACTGGCTCTCCGTGACCTGGGGAGCCCTCTCCAAAGCCTCCCTCCACAGCTACCCTGGCCCTCGATCCCGACGAAGCAACAGGAAACACAGGATCCATCCTCCCCTTTACAGTAACCTGCCTCAAACGATTATGAAGGCAAGTCGCCAACGTGATCTTCACCTGCGCCTTCTTAACGCCCGGAATCTCCATCGAGACGCTCCACACACGAGTCGCCGGGTCGTAGTGAAAATCGGCGCGAGGGGTCAAACGGCGTCGTGAGGGTCTTGCGTTTGCATTATTAGTGTTGGGGTGGGTCTCCGTCTGAGGTTGATATTGGTGTAGAAAAGGGGATGTGTGTGCTTGGGGCGACGTAGACGGAGGTGTCTGACCCTGACCTTGTCCCTGGCCGGAGCTTGAAGCATACGGAGTATGCGGCGGAGGTGGTGGGAACATAGTCCCTGTTGGAGGCGTAAACGGGGACGTCCTAGAAGCCAGAAGCAAGGGAAAAACGATTAGCCATCAAAGGAAGCCAAAGCCGAAGCCAAAAAAAGAGGCGCTCTAAACCCGCCCGTCGCCCCGACCAGAATCGAGAGGGAAACAAAGGGAGAAAAAAAAGGCCACTAGAACTAAACTGTAAACCAGAACTCACCTTACGCTCGCACTCGTCTCCCCAAAACTCGTAATCACAGGTGACCCCAAAACCGTCGAAGCGCTCGGTGAATGTGAATTCGTTGTTGGTGACCTATGCTGGTTCTGAGTTTGACTCTGACTCGACGACTGCGGGTTTTGCTGTTGAATCGCAGTCTGCTGTTGATGTTGATGCTGATTCTGATGGGAACGGAAGCCCTGATTTCCATGCCCTTGCCCAAAAACACCCCTCGAGGAAGACCCCGCACCCGACCCTGAGCCCTCAACACGATGCTCACGACCGGTAGGAGGCGGAGGAGGCTGCATCGCATGCATGTGCGATGGTGGGTATGGGTTCATAGAGCTTCGTGCATGAGCACGGCGGAGTGCAGATGTGTTTCGACTTCCTCGCGTGACGGTCTGAGCGCCAGGGCCAGGAGTGGGGGTGACAGAGGAGGAAGAGCAACCAACACCGGCTTCTCTAGGCGACAGGCTACCCCTTCCGCTCATGTTATACGACGAATCGTCGAAGGAAAGTCGATGTGGGATATGCGGCCCGGGGATGTGAGTTTCAGTAGGTGTAGTAGATGTAGGAGAATGAAATCGAGAACTGTCGGGTGTAAAGAAAGATTGCTGTATGGGCTGAATCGGTGGAACCTCAACTCTCTGCTGCATCTGCACCTGTTGATGCTCAAGTGACTCCCACTGAGGTGTCAACAAATCCATTGGTATTGGTGTAGTCGGAGACGGTATCTGAGCGTGCGTTTGCGTTCGAGGCTGCTGAGCAGTTCCATGGGAATGGGCATGATATTCACCACCACTACCACCATGCCCATTTCCATACGAATACGACATGGCAGCAAGGCGTTGAACGGGTTGGAAGAGGAAGCTGTTCAAGTCCATCTCCAATATATACCGCGTTCAGTCACGCTTTTTGCCCTGTAGGAAAAAATTTGTTCGATTGTGACACCTTCCGCTTCCGGTGAACAATGGGCTTTCGGTACACAGCCACTGCGTGTCATGTGATCGCACCCTATTGTCCTCGAGCCTAAGCGAACGCGTAATACAAACGCGACCCCTTCCCTCCGTTGTTCATCATCGTGATGGCCATGGTTCCGTTCGATTGAGACGGATTGGCGATATGGTTAACCCCGCTTCTGGAGTTCATATCCGTATTGTGGACCTGCAGTTGACGGCTATGGCAGCCCATTGTTACGTGATACGTCTTCATCTTCCATTGAAGGGCCTAGCAGGAGACCCAAGGAATCCTCGAAAAGCAGGTGTTTAGCGATATGGAGGGAAGGGATGGTGGGAATAATGATGCGAATTGCTATGGTGAGGCAATTATTCTCGGTTCCGTCGACGGATGACTGGTCACAGAGGTGTGATGCATATGGACCATGGTGGGTTTTCTCCCGTCCATTTTCATCAGCGCCAGAAGCAATATTTGCATTAAACGCCACTCTCCTCGTGCGACCTAGGTGCTCAGCAAAAGTCAATAACGAAAGACCTTGGAGATTGGAGATTGGAAAAGAGACGTACAAGTCGTCAGGCGTGCCTCAAGTGATACATCCGCGATGCAATACGGCCATGGATCGTTCTTCTAGTGGGCCGAAGACAGAAGCCCTTCAAACAACCTAATAGCCTGCCAAATGCCCATGATTAGCACGAGTGATTGGATCCAGGAAGCGACCATACTGAAGAGACTCTTCTCGTTTCACCCACGTCAGACACCGCAACAAGCCCAGCGCTAGAAGTTTCATATATGGTGCGGGGTACTTGATAGCCTTTCCAGCGCAACGTAGGTTTCACAAGAGAGCCAAGTTGGAATAATGATCTCAACAGCGGCCCACGCATGAACATGTCTCCTTGGGTATACTGGACCAAGAGTTTCTGAGATCGTTGCCTGATACGTTCCAAGATCGACCTGAAGACCTGCAAGATCCGACACCAGAGAAACAACCACCCGCCTGCGGCAATCTTCTTCAGCTACATTGAAGAATCTGTGAGAGGAACTCGTGAAGGACCAAAAGAAAGCGTACCTTGGGAGAGCTTTCGCCTATGCCTGAGTGCTAGACCAAGGATGTCTGAAACTCCCATTCCCCGCTACATCTCCCGAAACGAGATGAAAACGACCGTTCCGAAGCTTCCACATCGATGACACTGCCTCTTGTGAGCGAAATCCATTTTGAAGGACTTGAAAGATCGCACCGGTTTCCCAAGCTCGATGCCAACCGAGAAATCCAATTTTCGCACCCAAGCTCAACAGTC